GTGATGTTGAGCGGAAAGACGCTACCATCTTTTTTACCTTATGACCCGTCAGCTCGTGCCGGTGGATTCATAAGCGGTCGCTTCTTAACCGGTATTAAACCTCAGGTACTACTATAATGGATCAATGAACAAATATTTTTGTGATGTGTTAGTTAAAAATTCATGCGTTGATTTTCATCGTCTCAGGAATATTTCTTCCATTGTATGGCTGGTCGTGAGGGTCTTATTGATACGGCTGTGAAGACGAGTCGTTCGGGTTATCTTCAACGTTGCCTGATTAAACATCTGGAAAGCTTGAGAGTGCATTATGACCATACCGTGAGGGATAGTGATGGATCGATCATTCAATTTCATTACGGTGAAGATTCTCTTGACGTTATCAAGCAGAAGTACCTTTTCATGTTTCAATTTATGGCGCGAAATAATAAGGCGCTAATGCTGAAGTATGACATAAGCGAGGCACAAAAATCGTTAAATACTTCGTGGGCTTCTATTCATGCAAAGAAAGCTGACAGGAAAAAGAACGCGTATGATCCTGTACTTTCAGTGTACTCCCCGAGCACTTTTTTAGGCAGCGTCTCCGAAAAGTTTCACAAAGCCTTGGAAAAGGTAAAGGTATTACCTACTGACCGTAGAATGAATTCGAAATATTCCTTTATCAATTGCAATATATTGATGTTTGATATTTTATTTAAACATCGTATTAGTATATGGAAGATGATTCGGATAAAATTTTCAAGGATGATTCTATATCAAAACCGGCATTTCGAAAACTCATGCATCTTAAGTACCTTCACAGTCTGGTTGAACCTGGGGAGGCTGTTGGTTTGCTTGCCGCCCAAGGTATCGGTGAACCGTCTACGCAAATGACTTTAAACACTTTTCACTTTGCTGGATTTGGTGCAAAAAATGTCACTCTTGGCATACCTCGTCTTCGTGAAATCATCATGACTGCCTCTCAAAGTATTAAGACACCTCTGATGACGCTTCCGTTGTTAGATAGTGTCTCTGATAGAGAGGCCTTGAAGTTTTGCCAAAAAATTAGCAAGTTAACTTTGGCGGAAGTTGTTGATCGAATGGTGGTGACAGAACGTATTTTAGGAAAACGTGAGCAGTCTGGATTTACCAGATGCAGAGCTTACAAGATCCATATGCAGTTTTACACGCGTGAAGAATATACGGAAGAGTTTGACCTTAGACCGTGGCAGATAGAGCGTGTTATCGAAATTCAATTCCTATATCACCTCGAGAATGCAATAACAAAATTATCTAAAAGCTCTTCCAAGAGAGATAAGAGTCGTTTGTATGGTAAGTTTTCAGCAAGCATCAATGCTTCTGCAATATTTGATTATATCTCTCCCATCGTAATAGATGACGTGTTCGAGGTGGGTAAACCATCGAAGCGTTCAAAGAAGGAAGAAACATATGATGACGATGTTCCAATAAATGATGTCGGATATGGTGCGTGCGTGTTCTTAGAGTCCCACATATGTCGATTTTTGTCTTACTCTAATATTTTATTCTTGGGATCACCTAGAATCCGATAACGGGGATGGAGATGCTACTAACGTAAAGATCAATGCTAGGTCTCATCAGTTTGCAAGCTACGATGCACCCGATGATGAAGACCTGGAAATCATTAAACAAAATGACCGTGCTCTTGAATATGAGGATTTTGATAGTAAAATCCATGCGGATACTAATGATGGTGAGCCAGAGAATTTAGGTGACGACGATACGCAAGATCTTGTTGATTATCCAAAAAATTTGGAGAAAAAAACAAAATCCTCTCGACGGAATAAAATTCTTTGTCAATTGGCTTATGTCACGAACTATCAATTTGACTCGACAGAAGGTAGCTGGTGCGATATCGAATTAGAGGTACACCTTTTTTGTTTACATACGTGAATGTGCATATCACAAAGTCGGTTGACATCGACCGTACTAAAACTATCTCCGAACCCTAGTTGCCCGTTAATATGAAAAAATTACTATTGTTGGACATAGCCGAAGTGTCATGCAAGAAGTCGGTCATTCACGAGATTAGTGGAATCACAAAATGTTACCCAATTCCAAATGAAACTAAAGAAGACACTTTGGTAAGTCGCTTTTATAAGTTTGCGAGGTTGGAGTTTAAAAAAAAAACTTTCTTGATTCTTGCTTATTCGAATAGAAAAATGTGTTGGCAGAAGGTGTGAACTTTCAACGTATTTGGTTATACAATGACTTAATCGATATAAATAAAATTTACACCAATGACATTGCGGCCGTTCTCAAAACCTATGGCGTGGAAGCGGCTAGAAGTACAATAATAAAAGAGATTTCTAGCGTTTTTTCGTCATATGGTATTAACGTTGACCCTAGGCATCTAACACTGGTCGCCGATTATATGGTAGTATTTTTATTGCTCTAAAATGATTGTTAATATTTTAATCAAACTTACACGCCACATTTTTATTTCTGGACTTTAGACATTTGAAGGACAGTTCAAGCCATTTAACAGGATGGGTATTGATTCTAATCCTTCCCCTCTTCTTAAAATGAGCTTTGAGAGTACTTGTAACTTCTTGGCGCAAGCCACACTATTCGGTGATGTGGACATGTTAAGCTCACCGTCGGCAAGGTTAGCGCTCGGTAAAGTTGTACAGGGTGGCACCGGATCATTTGAAATTCGTCAACCTTGTGAGACACTTAGTGCAAATTAGAAATAATCTATACTGTAGATGGGTTTTTTGCGAGGAAACGCATGTTTCATAATTGTTTCATATTGGTAATTTTTATAGAGTCCGGCTGCGACAAGTTTATAATCGCAATTATTCGTACATTACCGCAAGTGTTAAAAAAGAGGTGCATTTCTTTTCAATCGGCACACATCCTTAAAAGATTACTGCTTCAAAAATTGTAGATTAATTATTATAGAATTAATTGATATCGATAAAAAAAATGTAAATATATATAAATAAGTATACATCATGCAATCTCTATTATTTTTTGCAATAAAAAAATAAAACTATTAAATTAATAAAATATGATACGGTATATTATAAAGAACGATAAGGATGTACAGTATATATATTTTTTATTTTTTAGAATCACGAATGAGCATTAAACACAAGACTTTATTAAATCAAAAGATTATAGTCATGATTTTTATAAAACAAATTAATCATAATCTACTACAATATGTACAGTGAGACACAAAAGATAATAAATAATAATATAATTTTTTTTTTTTTTTTTT